CACCCTAACCTGAAGCTCCCTTTAAAGGGTAGCCCAGGAAAGCCGGGCTCTACATGCCGGCTCGACAGCGACTCGGCCTGGGCCTCGACTTGCTGAGCCGCCAGCTTCTGCGATCGGCGGAGAATGCTCTAAAGGGTTTAGGGGTTTTAGGGGTTTAGGGGTTTTAGGGGTTTAGGGTTTTAGGGGTTTGGGGTTTTGGGGGTTTTAGGGTCTAGGGTTCCGTGAAGTGGTAGGGTCTGGTCTCTTCTTATGCAGTTCTGAAGCAGGGCCCTTCCCTAATCTTGAAATGGCTGCTAGGACACCGACGAACCTGCAGAAGCGCCTTCTTTTCCAGACTTGCCTGAGCGGCGCAATTAGTTCAAAGTTACGGTTCAAGCCACGCCGGCTCGACATTGCTTCTGTGTATCCTTCTCCCTCGATTGCAAGGGGGACTCTCAAGAGCCCAACTCTACCCACCCTCCAGCCCACAGACAAATTGAAACTCAAAGTTGCATCTGATCCCACACACACGTTGCTTTTGTTCGTGGGATCGATCCGCAAATGCTGACAGTCCTTCCTGGCCTAGATATGATCGAAGACTTTCTGTAGGCGATTGGGGAGGCGCTGGGCTGAAAAGAAAGAATGGTGTTGCCTGATCTGCCTAGGAGCCACGAGCTGCAACTATATACATACATATACATATATATATATACACACACACACACACTGTGCAAACCTCCAGGACACGGCGACACGAGCCACTTCACAAGCGCTACGCTTCGCTCCGAGCATTCCCAGTCTGCAGCCAAGGATCTGCATGGTAGGCGTGGAGCCGCTCGAACACGTCAGTGGTCGAAGGCTTCAGGGACTGGCACCAGGTCTGTTCCACAGCAGCGTGGCGGCACAGGATCTACAGGAACAGGCACTGTTCGTCCTGGGCTTCAGTGACTCCGGCAGCAATGCCAAGATCACGCCTGGCCGGGAGCGACGCGGATCTTCTCCTCCTCGCCCAGCAAAGCGCAGAACAAGAGTCCAAGGAAGAACTCTGGCCCAGGGCATGAGCCGCACCTCTTGGGGCTGCTGGTCTGAGGCCGGGGTCTCCGGCACCCCGTGCTCCGAAGTCTCGCCTTCCGGAAAGGAGCCTCCTGCAAGCAGAATGCTCTGGGCTGTGAGCGGCTGGTTTGCACTGCGGGCTCCTGGATCCTCCTGCGGCCTTCCGGTCCATCGTCCCTGGAAGAATGCAGAGCAGGTCTGCGACACATCAAATCGGATTCTTCCACTCATCAGCTGGCGCTTTTGAAGGCAGCATCGTTCACAGGGGACCGCTGTGCAGAAGAAACCGCAACACAAAGATCTCTTGCCGAACATGTCACAATCCTGTCGACCTTAGGCTTCCTACCCCGGCCTTGCCATCAGCAATCTCTGCTGCACGATGTTTTGTGCGGGCGAGTGAAACGGCCTGGCGACAGCGCTTCGTCCGAGAAGACACTTGGCCTGGTTTCCGCTAGTGGACTCCTGCCACTCTCGTGCCTTCTGCACAGCCATGTGAGACAGCGCGTCTGCGAAGCATGGTCTGTGGGCGGCCTTCCTACCTACAGTTGTCTGATATTGTCTCATGCTGTCTTCCTTGGGAGGCTCATTGTTTTTGATCAACCGGCTTGAGACATAGGAAGCCGGAGTCAGGGCCTTCTTGTGGTCTTGGGTAGGTGACTATAGGTGACTTCTGCGGTTCTCGAGCCTACCATTCCGCTCATCTTAGAGCCCAGAAGCTGTTTTGTGAAGAGGCGCTCTTCTTAGGCAAGAGCACCGATGAGCACGGCAGACTCTTCTCGCTTGGTTTTCGCCACAAACCGCTTCGGCCTCCGGGTTCCGGCTATCGCGCGATAGCCTTCCTACGCCGCCTGCGCTGTTGTGTGGACGCTTGGGGTGAAACCAATGCTTTCAAGCATCTCCCAAGGAAGAGGACTCATCGCCCGTCATGAAAGACAGCAACCTCGGGCTTCCTCCTCTTCCTCCTCTTCTTGCTCCTCCTCTGCGGCACTTGCCTGGCTTTGTCAATCGCTGTGCAGCGATGCAACGGCGTCATCACTCAACTTTTCAAGTGCCAGTCCAATTCAATGCACTCCGATTGCGCCTTGGCGGCTGAAGGCCCTGGCATGTGCCCAAGAGTGCCCAGGGATACAATCAGCGGCGGCAGAACTGTGCCTGGCCTCTCGGTTGTTTTCGCATTTTGGTAGTGCGACCGCGTGCCTGATCACAGCATGCACGAACTGCTCCGAGCAATCATCCTACAGACCTGCTGAACCTGTTCACGTACGACGTTGAGTGGGACCTCCCTGAACTCCGAAGCCCTCTCTGCTCCACTTTGCCTTTGGCTGGCTGGGGGCTCGAGGTTCAGCCGCCGAATCCTGACCAGCAATTATCCATCTGGCTGTCAACGGTCATGGGCATGAACTATGCTACTTGTATGCGAACATAGAAGGAATAGAGGTCATCCGGGTCAAAGCCGACATCCGGCCATGAATCTCCAATTCCAAGCCAGCTTCCCTTCTCCATTCCCTCAGCCGGCCTCTGCTGGCTCCGCTTCCTCTGCCTTACCCGTTGCCGCCAAGACCTTCGCTTCGTTGACATCACACTATCATCTGCCGGGCTTTTGCTCTCCGATGCAGCTGAGACAAGCACCAGGATGCTCACCACATCATGGCACACCGACACCACCTTCGCGGCTGCGTCTTCAGGCAAACAGGGCCAGGGCCGACTTCACTCCAGTCCAACAAGTACCCTTAAACGCTCATAGCCATCTTTATGATAACTCTTCATGCTAACCCTTTTGATAACCCTGTATAGATCGTTACAGCAACCCTTATCTTCTGAGACGTTCTGGCGAGCGGCAAGCGTCAGGAGGCCCCAGACTGTCCCGAGCGCAACTTTCAGCCCCGACCAAGAGTTGGCGACCTGCAGGAAATGAGGGTTTCAGAAATTAGGGATACCTCCTGAACAGGATTTCCGCTAGCGACATCACAAAGTTTCCATTGCTACACGTATCTGAACGCCAAGATCTTGTTTCTGAAAGCGGCGCACCCAAGTCCTCCACCCGGGCGGTTGGACCTGCTCATATCAAGTGCTACCTTCTGGTCTGAGATTAACGACTCAAACTTCCATTCAAGGGGGTGGCAGCGAAAAATCGAGACTGCCCCCCTCAGCTCAGGAGCTGCAGCCAGGTATTTTTCAGGGCCTTCACCGGGAAGTCCAGGAGCAGCTGCCGTGCCTACCGAATCCGACAAGACCCCATTTCTTTAACGCATCACGCAATAGTCACACAGGATGGGACTTAAACCTCTTCTTTGGGAATTCCGTGAGCACTAAACTGATGCCATATTGTTTGGCCAAAGGCCATAGTGTAGTATGAACTACTGATAAGCTTCTGTCGGCAATGTCCTTTCGCGCTTGTATCCCATCAACGGAGTCTTCATCTCGTGCTATCTTTTGCAACTTCTTCTGCGTTTTGGGCTTCCGTTGTTCTACAGCGACTCCTACGCATGCTGCTGCTGTTGTGGCTACTATTTCGCCTCTTCCGTTTCAGCCCGATGCCACAGCTTTTCGGCCTCCATGGCCAAGCGGCGGAGTTCGGGGGAGCCCTTGGGGCCCTCAGCGTGAGCCTTACACGGGCAGAGGACAGACATGCCCGTGTAAGGCTGGAAGGGAAGGAGAGGCTCGAGCAAACCACAGTTACGTAGGGATTCTACCTGGTACAGGTTTTCAACATGAAAGCATGGGCAAGCGCGCTGGCTTGTGACTGTTCAGGCTCTGCGGGGCAGCTGTGTTGTAGGACTTCGTGGCTTTGGCGATCTCTGTTACCATGGGACCCCGGGAAACAAGCTCCTGCAACGCCCTTCGTTTTGGAAATCAGTCGAAACGTGGTGCAGAAGCAAAATGCCCCAAGGCAGCTGCAACATCGGAGCCTTCAAATGCTCCGAGCACAGTAAATCAAAGTACTGTTACATGTCTGAAAGCATAGCTTCGAGAAGCATGAACCAGATGTCGTATTGCACTAGCTCGCTGCGCCTCTGCAGCGAATCTCTGCTCTAGACCAATCTACCTGCATGACGCTCATCAATAGCTTGGTACCTGAAAGTCAGTTCTCAGCTTCTCAAGCATGCCCGGAAGAAACTGGCAGAGAACTTCGGAGTTGAGTGCATAATAACTGACCTGACATGAAGATTCCCGGTCTTCGAGTCTCCCAGTGTCAAGTAAGTTCCATCGGCAACTCACGGCCGCACGAATTCAAGAAGTCATGGTTCATAAGCTTGCAGGCTCGAGGGCGCTCCTTTGGAGCCCGTTGCGTGCAAATGCTCACCAGGTCCCGCAGGTGGGGACTGACCTCTTCTTCCAGTGGTGGCGACTTGTCGCTGCAAGCAATGTGCATCATGGCCGCCATCTGTGAGGAAAACTTGCCCCAGGGGGGCTGGGCTGTAATCATCTCAATCAATGTGCATCCAAAGCTCCAAATATCGGCTCTGCAACCATACTTCTCACCATTGATAATCTCAGGGGCCATCCACAGAACAGATCCTCGAAAAGTGTGTCTGGCGCTAACTTTGGACTTCTTTGAGCACCCAAAGTCTGCGAGCTTTACGCACTTCATGTCCTCCGTAAGGAGGATGTTGCCAGTCTTCACGTCTCTGTGTAGTACAGCCTGCCGATGCATGTAGTTCAGAGCACTCACGAGCTGGGAGGCATAGTTGCAGATCTGGACCTCTGTCAAGGGCCCATCACGCTTCAACACCTGCCGCAATGACCCTCCGGCCATGAACTCCAAGTAGATGTAGTATCTGGCTAGTACTGCATCCGTGCCAAGCAGCTTGACAATGTTGGGGTGATTGAGCTGGCGGTGAGTGGCGACTTCGTTCGCGATTTCACTGGGGACTTGCAAATCACTGTCCAAATCTACCTCCTTCACGGCCACGGTCTCCCCTGTACTGGCAATCCTCGCCTTCCAAACTGTGCCCACGGAGCCACGGCCCAGAAGACCGCTCCGCAACCACGTGTAGGTAGCACCCTTCACGATCTCATCGCGTTCGAGTCCGCATGTGTTCGCTGGCTTGCTAGACAGCTTTGCGCTCTTTTCAGCCGTCCTGGGCTGCTGGGAAGTCTCTGTCTTGGCCGCAGCCTTGTCCCGATGTCTCCGCTTGTGTTTGCGAACAGATTTGCCGGTCTTGTCTTCCCTTTTTGCTTCAACTTCTGGCACTTGGGTCTGCAAAGGCGGTAGACGGAACCTCGACCAGCTAAGCCTACTAGAGTTGTTACTAGTTTCAGCAGTTCCTGTTCTCGTGGCCATGGTGGACAGGCTTGCAGCGCTCGCGGCCCGGAAATTCTCACAGCTTTGCTTATCATACGTCTCGATGAAAAGACGGGCTTCTGCCAGAACTGCCACAGCAGGAATATCATCAGCAGCTAGCGCCCTGGCGGCCCGCATACTTGTTCCCGCGGTAGCAGGTATGACTCTAAACAAACTAATAGGGATTGATCTGCCGCGGCTGCAGAACTACTGAACCATGTCATCGCCCAGCAGAAACTAAACACGGCTGTGTTGATGAACATCCCGCTTCAATCACTATACTTCCTTCATCCAGCTTTGCCGAGCAGAACTTCGTTTGCAAAGGATAGGATAGGGAGAGGGCGTTGGACATCAGATGTCGGTGCCTAGGTCTTGTGGAATCCAGTCTCCGCTCTCGAAACCAGTCGCAAATCCAAACCCCAAAAGCCGCCAGCCCCCGATCCGACTTGACCCCATCCACTAAGCACCAGTCCCCGGCTATGGCCAGCAGGAGCTCCCATGCCCGATCCTCTGGACAAGAAGAGGGCTTTTTGCTTGTCCTGTCTTGAGAAGCTTGTATGGGGGAGTCTGGTTGGAGAGCAGCTGCTGAGATGCCACCTATCTTTTCTAATGAGTTTCTCGTGGGGCTCTCGCGTTGTCGACCTCCGAAGGTGAAGGCCACCTTCACATGGGGGTTTCCGAAAATAGGGGACCCTCCTAATATAGTACCCTAAATAGTAGGATCCTTATTATAAGGACCCCAAAATAAGGTACCCTAATTTGTGGAAAGTCCCACATGCGCCTCCTACGCCTCTGGTTCTGGGCTCAAGGCCTCGGGGGACTGCACTTCCTTCGCCTTCTCCGAGCGTTGGGCCTGGGTGCCGTGCACAGTTTCTGGTTGTTCAAGGAGCTGGGGCCTCGGATTTAAGCTGCCTCTACAACAAAAACGGTGTCGTGGTATGGGCGGGGATCAGGTTGTGTGCAGGATGGAGGATGCCACAAAAGCAACCGAAGCTGTAAACAACTCAGCCGTCGGGGGACGAAGCTTGATCTTGTTTGCATAGGACTCATGTTCTTGGACTGCAGAGTAGCATTTACTACTAATCGCAGCACTTGTGCCTCCAATGCTTGCAGTACTTCTAGAAGACTCATCACACAAGCCAGTTGGATCAGTCGTGGGAAGTAGCCATCGTCGTACACAGCACCAGCAGCAGCAGCAGGAGGAGGAGGAGGAGCAGGAGCAGCAGCAGCAGCAGTAGTACCACTGGTACCCGTAACAGCAGAATTTTAAGACTTCGCTCGTCGTTGCAGTTGCCGCTGCTGCTGCTCCCATTCGTTGACGACGGTATTGCTGCCATAAGGAGGGTTTGCGTTGTTCTGGTCATGGCTTTTTTGCAGTCGTTGCTATTGCTGTTGTCGTCACCAGTGCCTCAGTCACTCCCATCGGCCCGCCTTCGAAGCTCGTGCCCAAGCCGATGCCTCAGAACAGGCAACCTGGTTTCTTTGAAGCAGCTCAACAGAGACAGAGTCTGAGTGTACTACAAGCAGCTCGCGAGGCATGCATGCTCCCAGCTTGCAGTGCAGACACCGTTTCTGGGGGACAAAAGGGCCATCTGTCACTTAATCCTCGCGACCTGGAAGGGGATCGAGGGCTGTGGGCTGAACACCTTCAGCTTCCGCCGGCAGATTGCTCTCACTGAGCGTCGGAGCCGCAGTGTCGCTGCAGCCACTAGAGTTTTCCCCATTCCTGCAAAGAGTTGACTTATGGAAGAAATGCAGATGACATCTCTCCCTGGTTCAAAGCTTACCCAGGTCCACGTCCTGGGAGCACGGGCTTCCATGGCAGCTCAGCGGGACCGACGAGTCATTGTATGTTCGTGGTGGATAATTACCACTATGTGGCTGGCTTTGGTGGCTCAAGCGCAAGTCAGCTTGGTTGAGGGGTGTCATTGTCAAGCAAGCAAGACCACATTGTCACATGGTCCCGATCTTTCTTGATTCGACTTTTTGTCAATGTTTACCTCATTGCAGTCATGCTACAAAGCAATGGGCATGCATTTGCCAGTCAGCAGTCCTCGAGCTGTGGGGCCGTAGCTTTCAACAAAGGCAATCCGTGACCATCATGACTCAAAGAAAAATATCTCCAGCTTGTTGCCTATTGGCAACTGCCCACATGCCTGTGAAAGCCTCAGCGACCCCATTGAAGATTTCAGCCCGCCTGAGCTGCTGTCTATGACCACGTGGCCCAGCTCCTAGAGACTTTCGAAGTGCATACAGCGCTGGCCCGGTCGGCGGCGGAGCTCCACCCTGACGATGTCTATGCAGCTTTGGGATGGGCTTGCTTGTCAGAGCGCCGACATCACTGACCCGCCTGCAACGCTGCCAGCAGCCGCCCCATTGACCTCTGCACTCCTTCGCCCGACCTGCCGACCAGCGGACGCCCTGCAGCAGTACATTAATGTACGGTGCCGCCGCGACCCGGTCTTCTTTTAGCAATCCAATATCCGCCCGGTGGGTCTGCCGAAAACATCCGAAAACACTACAAACTCATGATAACTGATGAGAAATTGCGAAAAGACTGCAAAATGACGAAGTTGGCTGGACTTGCTTCCTTCCTTCCTCCTTTACCCTGTCCTTCGCTGTGTTTTTCCTTCCTTTGTCGATATCTGTCGAACTAGATAGGCACCCCACCCTTCAGAACCCAAGGAACCTCCGACTGCAAGTCGTCACGCAGAGGTAGA